TTAATTACACCAAATACACAAAATAATGTTCTTTTTAGCAACATCATATGACCCCTTTAACCATCTCACGTGTGGTGAAGGATCACCTGAGAAGGCGTCGTTGTCGTGGTCCAGCGTGGTGAACTGCTTGCCGTTATGGCTGCTCAGTGAATCCCCAGCGTTGCCCTGGTAGGTTCCCAGACACAGACGGTACGCCTGGCTCTCGGGCTCCAGGTGGAAGCTGCTGTAGGCTGCGTAAACCTTCTTCCCCATCCAGTCCTCCAGCTCCACCAGCAGCTTGTAGTCTTCCTGTTTGCCCAGGTTATAGATGTTTTCCAGACCCAGCCAGTGTTCACCATCCACATCACCAAAGCCTTTCTGGAGAAAAAGCAAAGAGAGCTGAACACAGCGATTTACAGCAGGCACTGTTATCATTACCACCGCATTGGCCTTTGAAATACTGGAAATGCAAAGTAACTTCAGGCTTCTTTGAACAGCAGGGTTTTGGGCTGATGAGGGACGTTAAATAAATCCCTGCTGATTTCAGCACATTATTATTATTTCACTACAGCAGTAAGCATGCATGAGTTCAGTTACAGCGCAAACACACCTGCAGCAGCTCATCAAGCACTTTGGCTGCACTGAAAGTGTGCGACGCTGAGGTTTAGGAGGCTTCACTGTGTGTGTGTGTGTGTGTGTGTGTGCGTGTGCGTGCGTGTGTGTGTGTGTGGCTCAGAATGAAAGAACCACTGACACACGGGCACAAGCGCAATCAAAACAAACGGACACGAGGTGCAAATCCTGAAAACCAGATCCAGCTGTTTAGGAGCTCCATCACTTTTATCTTACTAGTGTTCCTCTGAGACACATTCTCCAAAAACGTCAGTCTGATTCTCTGACAAAAATGTGTGAATCGCAGCTCATAGAGACATGGTCCAATTCATATAATCCTTTAATTTATGTATAGAGTGCTGCAGGGATGAGGTATTTTTGTAGACCAAAACCTGGAAACCAGTTGCATTTTAGCACTTCCAGTTCCATCGTCCTGAAGTCAATGGGTTTTTTGAATGGGTTTTTGTTTAAATACCCGAAATACGGTCTGTGTTTAACGCAAGCTTAAGATATTTCCATGTTTTATTCTACGGCATAAAATACATCAGTAATACCTGCTTGTGTGTGTTTTTTTTAAACGTCTAAATGACACTTCAGAGTTTGTTGTCGCATTAAACATCATCATGCCAAACACATTAAATAATCTACTCAGTAGTCACTTTTACAGCCTCGTTGTGTTTAGAATCAAACTATTCTAACTCACACTTTCAGAAAGAGTTCTTGAATCTTAATGGTGGTGACGTCAAAGTCATGTGACTGTGGTATAGTTTGTTTCCCTTACAAAAAACAAAATATATGGGAATATACTGCAAAATATGATGCAATATATTTCATAATACATTTCCATATATGGGAAACTAGTGCTTATATTTTTCAATATTCTGCAGTATATGCACTGACCATGTATGGCTATTGATACATATAAAAAATATTTAGAAATTAAGACAAAATAGCATTACATGTAATATTCATAAAGTATTATCCTTTGTTGTGCACATATATTGCACATACATGTTCCCATATAAATGTGAATGTATGCACGCACACACACACACACACACACACACACACACACACACATACACACATTGACAGAGTGAGTTACAGCAGATTTCTAGTTCCCAGCATGCTTTGCTTCTGACTGTTAAAGGAGAGTAAATCATAAAATTAAGAGATCTGTTAGTGTTTAATGTTCTGCTATTTTGTTGAATTTAAAAGGGTTTCTGGTATGTCTGAGTTTGTGGGGTAACCATTGTGCTGAAGAGTAGAGTCTGTGGATAGGCTGACGATTGGCCGAACACTAATAAGACTATATATTACTTTATATTGTCACATATTTTTCAAAATATGAAAGTGGCTATTCCTTATGTATTGTTCAATATATTGTAATATATTAACACAATATATTATTCTGTGTACTTTCAAAATACCATTCAATTTTGAATATTGATCATTCATATATAAGGAAATATATTTTCTTTGCATAAGGCTTTTTACTTCTGCCAATTGTATTTCAGCCTCAAAAAAGTTATTCTTTTGTGAAGATTATCATGATGCACAAGCAACCCAGGCTCATTGAAAATGTGTGCTCATGGCGATATTTCTGTAACACCGATATTACATGTCTTATTGCACGTTTCGTGGCAGTTTCAAAGTGAAATGTCCAGTGAGTGGCACTAAAACGCAGGTTCAATATATGACCGTGGCCCTGTTTTTATTACGTTGGTTCGGGCACGTATTGCGGCAGTTCAGAATTCACTAAAAGGTTAATGCTCTATCGTGTTGGAAAACAACATTCCCACTACAGCAAACCCAACCCTAAACTTACCCGATAATGTTAACGAATGCAAAAGTGATATAAAAACACATTCGTTGATGCAACCGTGCTATTTTAACTTCCTGATATGTGGGTTTGTTGAACCGTACACTGTAAAAAAAAAATCCGTAAAATTTACGGTAAAAAAACGGCAGCTGTGGTTGCTGGAATTTTACCGTAAAAAATACGGTAGCAACATTTTAGGTTTTACGGTTTTAACTTAAATTTACAGTTAAATACCATAATTTCATTAACTGAAATAATGTTAATATACCAACCTATTGAAGTACTGAAATCTGTTTTGTACCTTTGTGATACACTGATAACCAGCAAATGCAGGTGGTGGTGAAAAAAAGTCACACGATGAACTAAAGCCCATCACAAGCAGCTTTTAAATAATAATATATATAGAAGGTGCACAGTGTCATTCACACAAACACTAAACACCATCATGGTAACACACATGAAACTGAAATAATGCAATAAACATGAATTTAACAACATTAGGTGTAACACACAACCCTAATATACAAAACTGATAAGAAAAAAATAAGAAGAAACATAGTTATTTAAACCAAAAAAAAACATCAAATTTGAAATGTAACACAGGGAATTCTGAGAATGTCAATTTACGGTTATTCACGGTTATATCTTTTTCACTTCCAAAAACGGTATACTACCGTAAAATTACATGTAATGTCCAATACAGTTTTTCACCGTATATAGTAGGGGAACTTACCGTTAACCATTTAACAGGTTTTTACTGTAGCATTTTTACAGTCTTTTACCGTTAAATTCAGGGTCATTTTTTACAGTGTAGTTTCACAGGATTCGCTTCACCGCAAGTGCAACACCGCATCGGGTGAGCTACCAAGCAAACCTACTGCATTAGAAACTCATACATATGAAGCTGTATATGTGACGCTAATGTTCAAAAGTATCAGTTTTCAAATCTTGCAGCATGTTAAAATTGTTGAGGTCATAACATAATATTGTGCAAGAAATTGTGTGAAAATTAGGCTTTCTTAATCGAAACTCTTGTCCTGTAAATCATAATTTGTGTAAAAAGGAATAAAAGTTTTACTGCCTCTGGAAACTGTAGCGAGTTGTACATACAGGTACGTTTTTTGAGTTTTGAGATGTAGATAGGAGCATGTATTTCCAATGAGCCTGGGTGGCGAAGAAAACATGTAACAATCATAAACTTTTGTTGGTCACAGGGCTTATTTTCTGCAATAATCCAAAAGCCAAAGGAAAAATCCTACTGGGTTCTTGTCAAGGGAACCAGAGTAATGCAAACTTATGGGTTTGCTTACAAAAATGCGTCACCACTGGAGCACTCTATTGCTTTTCAATATTCTCCAAAGATTGCACTGTTATTCTGTGTGTTTTTGTTTAATTTTCATTGGAATATTGGCATTTATCGCTGTGTTTTTGATGACAAAGTCATCCGTTACTGAATCATTCAAAAGAACTGGTTCAAAAGAGTGATTCATTGTGAATCAGACATCGCTACCTTATAGCTGTCCCAGTTCCTGAAGAAGTTGACGGATCCATCTTTCCTCCTCTGGATAAGCGTCCAGCCGCCTCTGTCTACATCATGCTCACACCAGGCCTGTACAGGCGTCTCCGTCCCGTCCGGCTTCAGTAGATACGTCCCACTGGTGGAGTGTCCAGCCTGCATCGCCTGAAGACAGTCCCGAAAGGGACCTCGAGACACCAGCACACACAAGTGAGTGAACACACACCGCTGATGAGCAATGAGCATCAGTAAAGCTCTTCAGTACTGACATATGTCTTCAGTTATGCTCTTCTGCCTTTCAGATAGTCCTTTTGTTCTCTGTAGATTACCAGATACTTGTGTCTACAAGATTAATGGCTAACAAGTGAGAGAACTAATAGTAACAGGCCTATTGTTTAAATGTTTTTTTTATATTTTGTATTGGGTCTGATTAGGCTTTTGTACATTATATATCACACATTTCTGCTCTTGATTTACATTGATGCATTTGGCAGATGTTTTTATCCAATGTGACTTGCATTGCATTCAAAGTATACATTTTATTAGTTCTTGCTTTCCCTGGGAATTGAACTGATGAACTTGGCATTGCAAGCACAGCGCTCAACTGTTTGAGGTACATAACTCCGCAATTACTTTTTAATAACTGATTATTGTGCAAGTCTTAGAAAACTAAACTTGTGAAAAGTTTCTAACATCAAGCAATATTATGCATGTTTTTCCACATTTCACAAATGTGAATTATATAGCTCTTACCATTCAATTCTGTATTTGTATTATTCATTTTCAGGTATGATTTAATATTTTCATTATTTACATTAAAATGTATGCTATATTCTTCTAATCAACTTCTAATCCTAAACATAACTGTTGGAAACCTTCTTGAAACAGTATAAACGGTTTGCACAACTGACCAATGTATTTATGATTACAACAATAAATAATTTATATATTATATATTATACAGTTTGCAACATAAATATGTTAATCTAAATATGTTAATATAATCTGTACAGCTAAAATAACTGGAAGTGACGAACACCAAAAGCCTTGCACATTCAAGTTACAAATGGCCGTGCCGCTCATGCATAATAAAAAAAAAAGATGAAAAGACTATTTAAATTAATAATAATAATAATAATGGGTCTAGTCTTTACACCTGTTTGTTTCAGGTTAGAATCAGGTCTGATGGATTAGAATTGACTAGGTGGCGCTGTCACAAAAAACTAGGGTCCTAGAAAGGCAGTCCTCAAACTGCAGCCTCTGGTATTTCAGGATGATTCTATTGCATAAATGTGTCTTATTCTTTTAATATGATGTATTTGGTGTGCAAATGAGTGTTCATTTTCAATGCAGTTTAGTGACACAAATGGAAATGACAAGAGAGTCTGTTGGCAAACAATCTGTAATGGGTTCATTACCCTCCAGACTGACATTCCCCTGAGGAGGATGCTGCAGGTCCAGCAAGCCTCCTGTGGTTGCCGGAGCCGTCCTGGGACTCCTGTCCTCTGGAACGGGCCAGCCTTGACTCCTCTGGATCTCATTAGAGAAGCGAGGCACGTACACGGGGATGTTCTCAGGCACGACCTGCACAAGAGGCGGAGGCAGCGGCTCTCGTCTGTGATTCCAGTACACCTGCAGGCATCGCTCCTCCAAAGCTGCGATCAGCAGCGACTGGTTATTTACCAGCGCGGCCAGCGAGGAGAAGCGCACCTCCAGCTCCCTGTAGAGGGCGGACAGCCGCAGCGCCTCTGCCGTGCTGTTGAGGATCCGTCCCTCCAGCTGCGCCGTGGTTGGGCTGCCCGGTTATAGTGGCGCTGTTGGGCCTGCTGCGCCTTCGTCAGGTGCTCCCGGACTAATGGCATGACCCGGTCGATCCTTTCCCTCATCTGTTTGACATGCTCGATTACAGAGCGATGGGCTGCCGGCTGTTGCTCCCAGGCTTCCTTCGCCATATCCAGGTGGTCGCGGGGTTGCCGGCCAAATAGGACCTCGAAGGGGGTGAAGCCAGTTGAGGCCTGCGGGACTTCG